GGCCCGGGCTGGATTTGAACCCGCCACCTTAGGTGTATGGCCACCTTAGCCACTTGAGCCACAGGCGCCAAGCCGGTTCTAGAGATTTTCTAGGTGGTGGCTCAGAGAAGGCAAAGTATTGGTGGGATGTGGTGGTGTTGAGAGCAGAATCCTAGAAGAGATGGAGAAGAACTTGGGAATTGGCAGAGAGAACTCACAGAAGACCAGGGAGGAAGCACATGTCACTGATGGAGGTGGCTCAGGTAGCAGCCCTGGAGTGGGTACCCCTGGGGCTTCTGTGTGGCCCAGGGTTTGAGGGGGGTGCCCCACATGCTTTATGAGTAGAGTTTGCTGAGGTCACTGTGATGATTCACACCAACTCCCCTCTGCCCACTCCATCCCTCTCCTGTCCCGGGGCTGTGCCCACATCCAGCCTTGTGGGTCTCAGACTGGCTTTCTGTGGACTTCATTGTCATAATCGCTTTTCTGTGTTCACATCACTCTCTTCACCCGATGGTTCTGTCCATGCTCCTAGATCCATGTCTTCTTTTCCATCTCTACCACCACTGCCAAGGGCCCAAACATGGGGCCTCCTCTTCCAATCTGCTTTCCCTAGGAGGCGACGGAAACCTTTGGCCCTGTCTGCCAAGATGATGACCTGACTTCTTTAGCTTGACAGCCACCATCTGCCTCCCAGCTGGCTGGTGTTCCCCTGTGCCTGTTGACACACTTGGGCTCGCTCTTCTGAGAATCCTGGGGTGCCTGTCTTCTATCTCCCACTCCCCTTCTGAGAGCACACCCTTCCTCATCTCAACCTCTCCTTGCACAGCTGTGATTTGACATGTCTTACCTGCCCTGTGAGGGCTCTTTGTTATGGGTCCCCCACCGAAGACATTCAGGAAATGGCATTTGGTTGGCCGATGTAAAGTTAGGGATGATCTTGGACAAAGCAGGTGGTGTCCTTGAAACTTGGAACCACTCTGGAAAGCTCACCAAGGATGCTGTGGTTGCATATGAGGGACATATGTGAAACCTCTATGGTCTGCCTGCCAGGAGGAGACAGCTCAGTGACCAACTGCACTCTCCCAGGGACCATGGTGACCCAGGAGGAGGTGCGCCCACCCATAAGTCACCATGCTATGGATGTCATATTGGTGGTGTGCAGCTGGGATTGAAGCATTCGGGATGCCTGGAAGGGGAGAAGTCTTTTTTCTGAGAAGCTACCCTAGGATGGGATGAGGAGTTTGTGGGGGCCTGGTCTTCCAGGTGGGTACCAGGTGCCTTGGTGGCCCCTACCCCGTGCTGTCAGCCAGCCCCACCTGTCAGGGAGAAGCTACTCCAGTGTGGAAAGCAGAGGGATTGTTTTCATAGTACTTGAAACATTACATGTATACATCCATCCATAGATACACACACACACACACACACACACACATACTTATAAGTGTGTGTACATGTATGTATGCACATATATCACTTTTTGTTTTGGAATTATTTTAGATTTATAGTCAAGGTGCAAAAATAGTACAGTGTGTTCCTGTACACCTGTCACTTTTAGGAAATGGACATCTTATATAACCACAGTACAGTTATCAGAAGTAAGACATTGACTTTGGCACACTGCTCTTAACTGGAAACTTCATTCAGATTTCACCAGTTAGTCCACTAAGGTCCTTTTTCTGTTCCAAGATCCACATTTGCATTTAATTATCCCCTCCCCTTCAATCTTGGTCTTGTCTTTCCTTTTTCAACCTTGATACTTTTGAAGGGTTAGGATCGCTGATTTTGCAGAAAGCTCCTCAGTCTGGTTGGCCTGAGGTTATCTCACTACCATGTTGAGAGTGTGAGTTTTGGCAAGAACACCCCAGGAGTGCTGTGCCCCGCTCAGGGAGCCCCGCTGGGGAGTCTGGTGTGGATGTGTGTGTGTCATTACTGGTCGTGTTCACCTTATCACGGGGCTGACATGGTGTCTGATGGGTTTCTCGTTTTTTCTCTTTCCCTTCCCATAATTAATAAATACCTTGAGGGAGAAATTTTGAGATGCAATTTTTGAAACAGGTAATTCAATCCAGGGCATTGGTCAGCCAGAGCTGAGAAGCTACATAGCCAGACATTAGCCACCTCAGGTAGTTATTACTATCTCTGAACCTGATGAGCCACACAGGAAGAGGGTGATGTTGCCAGAGCTCTGGGGACAGGATCAGACACCGAAGCCTGTCTGGGGAGGGCTGGAGCCATGAGAGGGAGCAGGGGTCTGCTGGCAATACCATCTGGGGCATAGAGGGGGAGAAATGCTCCAGCCTCTCCCTTCCACCAGTTGGCACAGGACCCTGAGAATCTCAGTCTACAGAGGTCAGCCCCCCTGCAGTGTAGAGCAGCGGTGGGCAGAAGTGGGTCTGATGACTTTGCCTTTTCTCTAGGGCTGCACTGTCCAATATGGTAGCACAAGCCACATGTGGCTCTCGAGCACTTAAAATGTAGCCCATCCAAGCTAAGATACGTTCTATGTGGATTTCAAAAACTTAGTACAGATAGGAGAATGTAAAATATCTTATCAATAAATTCTTAAATTGATTACTTGGAGTGATATTTTGATATGGTTGGATTAAATAAAACATATCATTTGATGTAATTCTACCTGTTTCTTTTTAGAATCGGGCTACTAGAAAATGTAACATTATGCCCGTGGCTCTGGTTTGTGTCTCTCAGCTTGTTTCAGTCGGGCGGTGCTGCTCTAACGTGCCCTTGCCCCCAGCCTGCGTGCCCAGCATCATAATGATTTGTCTTTCCGGGAAAAAGGTCAATGTCCTTGTCCAGCTGCTAGGAGGGTGTGTCCAGCCAAGGATTTAGAAAACCAGGACTGTCCTGGCCTGGAGCCATCCACACTCACAGTTTGACCAGGAGAGCAGGTGCATCAAACGTGCAGAGATGAGGTTTCCCTCTGCTCCTTGTGCATCCCACCAAGTGGAAGGAAGGTCGGGGCTCAGCAGCACTAGTGGGGGGAGGAGGGGGCTAGCTAATTTTTAACACGATGATAAAAGCACCTGACTACTACTGCTTCATATCTATGCAGTGTTTTTACAGCTTACAAAGGTCCTTTATGCCAGTGCTGCAGAGTCACCCAGTCTGGCTGCCCCCAGTTTATAGATGATTAAATGAAGCCCGAGAGATCTCATGGATTTTAGTGGCTCCCAGACTTCCGGGGCATCACTTGGGGAGCTCGTCAAAATGCTGATCACCAGGCCCTGGCCTCACAGGGGTGGAGGTTGGGGTCCAGGGACCTCTGTAGCAGACTGGGGACTCACACATAGGTGAGGTCACATTGGGACACACCACTCTCTGAGCTCTTAGGGGCTGTGAGTGGTGGGACTGGACTTAAGCCAGATGGCCAGCCTGGACTCTTCCCTGATTCTGGGTCCATTGTCTTTTGTCTCACCTCCAGTTCCAGCCATACCCTTGACATGGTAGAGGGCTCCTGTGTGGGCTGAAGCCAGGGCAGGTGGCTAAGTGTGGCATTGGTTGTCCCGAACTCAGAATAATATGGTGTCACGTAGCTGGGTCTTCATCACTTTGGTGGACTTAGGTGAAGGGAAATTACTTTGTCTCCCCCAAGCATACACCAAAGGTTCATCTCAGTGTGCAGTTTGGAGATGTTACCTTGGACTTGGAGGTCGGGAAGATTTGCTGTTGCAAATGGTTGAGTGGGATTTTATTCTGGTGCTACTGCGAAAGAGCAGGCCCACGCCTGTGGGCCAGGGCAGAGTGAGGATCAGGCTGATTGTGCCATCACTGACCACTCTTTTCTGCCCTGCAGTGGACAGCGGACTGCAATGAGCCTCTGGACGGCAGCTGTTCCTTCTCCCGAGGGCGAGCCCCCCCACAGCAGGTAGGGAGCCACCTCTGCACACTGTCTAGGGCATCCTGTGTCTTGTCTGTGGGAGTTCCTGAGCTGGCCCATGGTGGGAGTACAGGAAAGTGGGAGAGAGGAGGGTGCCCCGGCCCCTCTAGAAAGTCTACCCTGAATTCCCTGGCCACAGTGAAGCTCCCCTACCCTGAACTGGTCACTCTGTAAGGTTGCTTCTCAGTAGCAGCATTGTATAAGATAACAAACATCTGCTAACAACCTGAATGTCCACTGAGTGGAAGTGGAGAAGTGCTTCGTGTTACATCATCACAGTGGATTGAGTATGGCAGGCAGGTGACTAAATTGGAGGTTCATGCATTGACATCGATGGACCCCACAACAAGGGGACGTGTAGCATTTTCCTGCTGGTGGGCCCTTTGGAGATCACCTCTGCTTCAGGTCTGCAGAGGGCCTGGGAGGAGCAATTTGTTGAGGGCAGGTAGAATCAGAGACTGCTCTCTTCCCCCTGGATGACCAATGTTCTGGGACCTGGCTGGAGCCTGCCACTTTCTGCTGCTTGCCTGTAGGGTCCTGAGGACTGTTTGGTAGCTTTTGTGGCCAGGAGGGAAGGGAGGCAGCTGCTCTCTAAGAACCATCCCGGTGACCCTGGCCTCTAAGCCCCCAGCCCACTGGTGGTCCAGCTGTTCTTGCTGATACCTCACCCCTGCCTGTCAGATCCCATGCAATTTGAGGCTGAGAAAACCATGATGAAAGGCCTTTTAAACA